AAAGTTACCTTAAAAAAAAAAAAAAGCCCTTGCCATGGCTCTGTCTCTTTAACAAGAGGTGGGGGAGGGGAACCCTTGCTTTCACTTCCTGGATCCCCAGGAGCACCAATTGGGAAACACGGCCCTAAGGATACAGACTATTTTCTTCCATTATTTGATCTGAGGCAGTGGGTCTGGCCCACGAAAGCTCATCCCCTAATAAACCATCTTGATAGTCTTTAAAGTGCTACATAGTCCTGTCTTTTGTTAAGGATACAGAAACACTGCACCAAGCATTTGTGGGCTTTGACATTGATCCACTAGATGGCACTGGTGTCATACGAATCCACTCGATGGCCTCCCTGCAGGATCTTTCGCAAAAACTTTTTGCGCAAAAGTACGTCTACACTGCACGGCCGCTCTCCCGCAAGAAGGGCCACCCGGAAGCATTTCAGGCGGGGCAGAAGGTCGCCAGCTGCTTCCGAGGGCTGGCACCGGAGGCCTGCAGAGAGACATCCTGAAAGGGACCGCTCTGCTCAGCTGTGTCTCTGCTGCTGCTGCTGCCTGCTTGCTACCTCTGCCAGGGGCAGCAAAGCTCTCGCAGTCCCTGCTGGGTTGCCCTGTGCTGGTTGGGCCGCTGCTGCTTTTCCATGGAGCCGGAGCTGCCCCTGGCCACGTCCTGGCCCCACACGGCCTTGCTGCAGTGCATGCAGCACTTGATGCAGGCCACCGCCCTGCGGCCCGCCATCCCCCTGGAGAAGAAGGTCGCCATCGCCCTCCGGAAGCTGGCCAGCACGGACAGTTACCGCGTGGTGGGCGACCAGTTCGGCGTGAAGAAGTCCAGCGTCGGGGTCATCCTCATGCAGGTTTGGCCCTCTGGGGCTGTAGTCCCTGCGCGGGAAACGGGGAGAGTCCTAGCTGTGGGGGTGGGGAGGAGCCCCCTCCCTCAGGGGGTTGTGCCACCCCACCCTTACACAGCCCTGCTGATGGGGGGGCAGTCTCATAGGGCACTTGGGGGAAGAAGAGATGGGAGGGGGAGTGGGCTCCTCCTCTTTCTCATCCTCTGTGTTTTCGGTGCTTCTCTGTGTCCTTCTGCAGGTGGTGAGGGCCCTCAACTCCATCCTGCTTTACAGAGTCATCCGGCTGGGAGACCAGGACGCGACCATGGCCGGATTTGCTGCCCTGGGGTTCCCCAACTGCGGGGGCGCCATAGATGGGACCCACATCCCGATACCAGCACCTAACATTCTAGGGCCCTGCTACCTGAATCGAAAGGGCTACTCTTCGATGGTGCTGCAGGCCCTGGTCGACCACCGGGGACAATTCCTGGATGTGTATACGGGGTGGTTGGGCAAGGCAGACGACGCCCGCATCTTTAGAAGCTCCGGCCTGTACAAAAAGCTGAAGAAGGGCCTGTACTTCTCCCCCCGGGAATTTGCGGTGGGGGACGTGCAGATGCCACTGTGCATTGTGGGAGATGAGGCCTACCCCCTCCTGCCCTGGCTCATGAAGCCGTACACCGGGCACCTAGACCCCAGCAGGGAACAATTTAATACCCGCCTGAACCGGGCCAGGAACCCGGTGGAGCGGGCCTTCGGCCGTCTCAAGGCACGCTTCCGGTGCCTGCGGACCCGCCTCACCGTGGGGCAGAAGAGCATGGCCGAGCTGATCGCGGCATGTTGTGTCCTCCACAACATTGTGGAGAAGAAGGGGGAGGCCTTCCTCCCAGCCTGGGAGGCAGACACCAGCCAAGTGGGCCGTGTGTTCGAGCAGCCCCAGACAGTCGCCATCCGGCAGGCCCACCAGGATGGGGTGCGCATCCGGGAGGCCCTGCGGGAGCAGTTCTCGCAAGCACCCCAGTAATTGTCTCCAGGGCCTCCTACCAAGGGGCCTCTGCCCCTGGTGGGACGACCAGCAGTGCCTCCAGAACTTCCGCATGAGGAAGGAGACGTTCCTGGAGCTGTGCACCTGGCTGGCCCCCGCCTTCCAGCAACGCAACGCCCCCCTGCGGCCCGCCATCCCCCTGGAGAAGAAGGTCGCCATCGCCCTCCGGAAGCTGGCCAGCACGGACAGTTACCGCGTGGTGGGCGACCAGTTCGGCGTGAAGAAGTCCAGCGTCGGGGTCATCCTCATGCAGGTTTGGCCCTCTGGGGCTGTAGTCCCTGCGCGGGAAACGGGGAGAGTCCTAGCTGTGGGGGTGGGGGGGAGCCCCGTCCCTGGGGGGGTTGTGCCACCCCACCCTTACACAGCCCTGCTGATGGGGGGGCAGTCTCATAGGGCACTTGGGGGAAGAAGAGATGGGAGGGGGAGTGGGCTCCTCCTCTTTCTCATCCTCTGTGTTTTCGGTGCTTCTCTGTGTCCTTCTGCAGGTGGTGAGGGCCCTCAACTCCATCCTGCTTTACAGAGTCATCCGGCTGGGAGACCAGGACGCGACCATGGCCGGATTTGCTGCCCTGGGGTTCCCCAACTGCGGGGGCGCCATAGATGGGACCCACATCCCGATACCAGCACCTAACATTCTAGGGCCCTGCTACCTGAATCGAAAGGGCTACTCTTCGATGGTGCTGCAGGCCCTGGTCGACCACCGGGGACAATTCCTGGATGTGTATACGGGGTGGTTGGGCAAGGCAGACGACGCCCGCATCTTTAGAAGCTCCGGCCTGTACAAAAAGCTGAAGAAGGGCCTGTACTTCTCCCCCCGGGAATTTGCGGTGGGGGACGTGCAGATGCCACTGTGCATTGTGGGAGATGAGGCCTACCCCCTCCTGCCCTGGCTCATGAAGCCGTACACCGGGCACCTAGACCCCAGCAGGGAACAATTTAATACCCGCCTGAACCGGGCCAGGAACCCGGTGGAGCGGGCCTTCGGCCGTCTCAAGGCACGCTTCCGGTGCCTGCGGACCCGCCTCACCGTGGGGCAGAAGAGCATGGCCGAGCTGATCGCGGCATGTTGTGTCCTCCACAACATTGTGGAGAAGAAGGGGGAGGCCTTCCTCCCAGCCTGGGAGGAGAGCAGCCCCAGACAGTCGCCATCCGGCAGGCCCACCAGGATGGGGTGCGCATCCGGGAGGCCCTGCGGGAGCAGTTCTCGCAAGCACCCCAGTAATTGTCTCCAGGGCCTCCTACCAAGGGGCCTCTGCCTTGCAGCCGCATCCCTTCCCCACCACAAGCCCTCCCTTGCCCCCAGCCCTGACGTCCCAATAAACAAACCTCGTTGCTTTTCCACCAAACATGAACTGTATTTCTTTAACATCCGCGAAAGGTGGGCAGGGGGAGGGGGCTGTAAACTGGGAGGAGGAGGGGGCTCATGATTGTTAGGGGCGTGGGGGGGGGCTCTCCGTGTCACCTCAGGCGCAGAAGCC